CTGGAACATACTATGTACACCAGGCAGGCCTCTATTTCACAGAGATCCACCTGCTTCTGTCTCCTGAGTTCTGGGATTAACGGCACGCACCACCAAACCCAGCTAAACTTTAGGTTTAGGTTAAATTTAGTATAATTCCAATTTTTTATACATTCATTAATTTGTGTGTGTGTGTGTGTGTGTGTGTGTGTGTGTGTGTGTGTGTGTGTATGTTTGTATGTGTGAGTACATGCCATGGTACACATGTGGAGGTAAGAACAGATAACTTGCAGAGGTTGGTTCTCTTTCTTCACCATGTTGGTGCTGGGGTTGGAACTCAGGTTGTTAAGCTTGTTGGCAAGTGCCTGTACCTGTTGAGGCATCTCACGGTCCTAATTCCAATTAAAAAAGAAATCTCAATCTCTCTCTCAATCTCTCTCTCTCTCTCTCTCTCTCTCTCTCTCTCATACACACACACACACACACACACACACACAAACACACACGCTCACGCACTAAATGTAAAAAAAGGGGATGGAGAGATGGCTCAGCGATTAAGAACACTGACTGTTCTTGCAGAAGACTCAGGTTGGAAACCCAGCACCCACACTGCAGCCAACAACTGTCTGTAACTCCAGTTCCAGGGGATCTGACAGCCTCTTCTGTCCTCCGCGGGCATTGCACGACATGGGTGCACTCACATACATGCAAGCATAACACTCATACATATAAAATAAAAAAAATAATAAAATATTTTAAAAAAGAAATTAAGTAGAAATTATTTGGTAATTAAAATGATTTTAAAGTTATTTTAAAAAAAACTGGGCATGGTGGTGCATGCCTTTAATACCAGCACTTGGGAGGCAGAGGCAAGTGGATCTCTGTGAGTTGGAGGCTAGCCTGTCTATATAGTGAGTTCCAGGCCACCTGGGGCTATAGGGAGACTCTGTCTCAAAAAGACCAAAACAAAAAAAAAAGAAAAAAACCAACAAAAAACCAACAACAAAAAAACCTAAAAGTGTTTCCAAATGTTCATATGTCAGGGGTTTCATTGTCAGGTAATGGGCTTTTAATAAATAAACTGAATCATGACGGTTCTGACTTCATCAATGAATTAAGTCCTTGATGGATTCATAATTTGATGGTAGGATTGGGAGGTGGGGCCTATTTGGATAAATGACATGTTTTCCTTGCTTATAATTCATTTATTTAATAAATACTGAGTACCAGTACTGTTCTTTTTTTTCTTTTTGAGTCATACCCAGCTCTGAGTACCACTTCTAACACTGGAGACCACAGATGAATAAGATGGCAGTGGAGCTATCCTGAGAAGAGATAGGCAGGAAACTAACAGGTAAGTAAATGACAGTAACTAGGAAGGACAGGGAACATTAGAGTGTGTATTGAAGAGAAATGATATTATGAACTATACTTTTTGTTTTTAAATTTTTAAAGTTAATTTTTATTTTATGTGTATGAATGTTTTGCCTGCATGTATGTAAAAACACCTATGTGTGCAATGCCCATGAAGGCCAGAAGAGGGTATCAGACCATTTGTAACTGGAGTTATGGATGGTTCTTAGCTGTCATATGGGTGCTAGGAACTGAACCTAGGTCCTCTGGAAGAGTAGTAAGTGCTCTTAACCTCTCAGCCATCTCTCCAGCCCCCTGAAGTATATTTTTTGATTTTCTTTACTTTTGTATTCCTGTCACAGAGTATTTGACCGAACAACTCAAAAGTGGAAAGGTTTATTTTGGCACACAGTTTCAGACAATAGAGTGCCATATGGTAGGAAAGGGCATGCACAGTTCATGGCTGCAGGCATGTGATGGAGCCTCCTCATATCACAGCCTGGAAGCAGAGAGCAGCTGGTACTAAGGGAAGGCCACCCGTTACTTACTCCAAAGACCAGCCCCTAATTACTTACTTCAGTCAATCACGCCTGACTACTAAAAGCTCAACAGCCTTCAAAATAGTGCCACCTTCTGGGGACTGAGGGGTTGAGAACATGAGCCTGTGGGAGACATTTCAGAGTCAAACCATAGATAACAAAAACTACCATTTATGCTAGATAGTTTCCTTACATCACTTCATTAAAAATCTTATGATGGGGCTGGGCGTGGTGGTGCACGCCTTTAATTCCAGCACTCAGGAGGCAAAGGCAGGTGGACCTCTGTGAGTTTAAGGCCAGCCTGGTGTACATAGTGAGTTCCAGGACAGCTGGGCCTACAGGGAGACCCTGTCTCAAAAAAACAAACAAACAAACAAAAAAACTCATGACACTCCTAGCAGGTAAGTAGGTATTAATGTTTTCAGGCTTGAAATCCTTAGAAAACTTGCTAAAGCTAACATAGCTGCTATGGGGGATCTTTTTTTAAAATTTTTTTTTAATTTTTATTTTATGTGTATGAGTGTATTGCCTGCATGTATGTAAATGCTCCTGTGTGCAATGCCTGTGGAGGTCAGAAGAGGGCTTCAGATCCACTGGAACTGGAGTTACAAACAGTGGAGGGCTGCCAGCCACCCTGTTGGTACTGGGAATCCAACCTGGGTCCTCTGGAGCCATCTCTCCACAGGCCTAAAGGAGGATCTTAATTTGAACAGAGGTCTCTCTGACATCAGAGCCTTCAGGAAAAAGTTAGAAAACCATAACCATGTTGTGGGCTTTTCAATCTTGCAAATCTCTCTCTGATCTTTTATATAGTTGTCCTATCCATCCTTACTAAATTTGAAAAAAAAGATTAAAAACAGAAGCTTGGAGCTTTTTGAAAGTTGTAATACATATCTGGAGAAGTAAGATTTAAACTAAGTACTGTTCTTTGGAATGGTTCCTCCCCCCTTCCTTCTTTCTCTTTCTTCCTCCCTCCCTCCCTCTTTCTCTGCCCCCCCCTTTCTTTTGGTCTTTTTGAGACATGGTCTCATGATGCCCAGACTGGCCTCTAACTTGCTATGTACTTGATGACCCTGAATCTCTTATCCTCCAGTCCTCCAGAGTGCTGGGACTGCAGGATACACCACCATGACCAGCCCTTCCTTCATTTCTACTTAAAAGGTTCAAGAAGAAAATGCTTGATTGGGTGGTACATGGTAGGGAAGTGGTGAAAGAGTCCACATGCACATGTGTACAAGCAACCACAACAGATGCAGGTAAGGATACATGTACATTGAAGGAAGTTGGGTAGAGATGAGGGGCAACAGATAAAATGGAATGGAAGCCAGTAGAGAACACAATGGGAGAGAAGCAGTAGGAAAGAGAAACCCAGAGAAAAGGCATTAGTGAGTTATCTCACAGTATTTACCTTCTTCCACCCTTTTCCCTCTATATACTCTTTCCCTAATGACCTCAATCATTATTAGGCATTCTATACTCCTATACTCCTATTTTGATAACTGCCAAATCTCATCAGTTCTTACTTTTCTTTGGAGTCAACACATCCAAATTGATCACACCACCTTTATTTTCCTAATATTAGCAGCCATTGAATTCCAGTAGGTCCCAAACGAATTTACTATTTTGTCACCTGGAACTGGCTCGTTAATCATTCATCTGAACTGCTTTCAACTTTTCTTTCACCCAATATGCCACAGAACTAGCTAGGTACATCCACTCATGAAGTTGGGTCACTTCTCCCTTGAAAGTTTGTCCGACTCCTTAACTAAGCTCTTTACTGAGATGTACTGAGACTCCTTGCTTGTACCATGGCAACATAACATTCAATGCTAACTGGTTTTGTGCTCACTATGGCAGCACATATTCTACCATTAACTGGTTGACCTGCCATTCCTTCTGTAGTAAGCACCTTAGCATCGTACCTGGGACACAGAAGGAAGAGGATCACAATGGAGGCTTTGGGACTGCAAAAAACTTTCTGGAAAGGGAGCAGAAGCTAGGGACTTGTCTCAAAGGAAGATTTATATAAGAGGCAGGGTGTTTTCCTTAAACTGTAAGATCAGTACACATAACAGCAGCTTGGTATTTCTTGTATTTATGGCGTATGACCTTGGGACACTGATAGAAAGCTGTCCACCTACCACCCCTCGAGTAGGTACCCAACAAACACTTGTTGAATAGGTCATCTTCTAGGCCAGGGGCCCTCTACTGATGTATTTTCTGTATTCCCAGTCCCTAGAACATCTGGGTCACAGGAGTTCACTAAATTTCTGTGGAGGTCTGGAAAGGCAGTGACCACAAATATTTTATTCACCACTTTCAAGGAGCAAAGACAAAGATGAAATGGGCCAGAAAGAAAAACAAAGGCACTAGTGCCCGTCCCCCGCTTCCCTTGGGGCTTCGTACGTGTTTGCTAAGCAAAATGAATCTGCCCTTCACAACCCCAAAATCCGGCCCCTGGCTGGGAAAGCAGGCCCTGGAGCGCGGCCATCAGCCGGCCAGGGGTGGCGCTTCCCTCCCTCGCAGCTCAGCCGGGGCTCCTGTTACCTCCCTGCACACATCTGTGCCCACCACAAGCCAAACAATTACGCGCTCCCGCGCCAGCCTCGAGGTCCGGGCGGCGGCTGCGGCCTGGCCAGGACCCCCACCTCCTCTCCGTGCCCCCCGGCTCCGCGGACGCCCGCGCCTGGAGCCCCCCCCCC